GTTGTCAACAAAGTTTTGGCATTTTTTTCAAAAATTTTATTTTTATTTTTTCACTCCAAGGGTACAACTAGCTTCATGATATATATTCACCACTACTATCTATCACTTGTTGCCAACGTTCTGGCAGGAATAGGAGGGTGTGGGTGAATATAGAAAATATTAATACCTACATCCACACCCACACCCCACATCCACGCCCACGCCCACCTCACATCCATCCTTGATTTATTTATACATTTTTTTAAGCATCCATTTCTATTACATGATCTTAATAATTTACAACTATTACTCGATATTAATAAATTAATCTTTTCAAGTAAAGAGAAAAAAAAAGATATTTATTATGTTTTTTGAATTCTTTCTTTTTATTTAAAGATTTATTTTTTTGGGCAGAAGATAATTTTCTATAGTTGATATTTCAGTTTTCATAGAAGAAGAGAGTTCCAAAGTTTTAGATTTGAAGAATATATTTGATCATGTCTCATCTAAAGGAATTTATTTGTTTGTTTTCTTTTTTAAGAGAATGATAAAGGATCATCAACAACATCAAATACAGACAAAGTTTAAAAGAAGTTAATCATACACAATTCGGTGCTTTTGGAAATAATCCATTAATGATGAAATTATTCGAATTAATACATTCAACATATCAAATACATAAAAGTTTATTAAATTCATCTGAAAATGATCGTTTTGGACAATTATTTTCAATAACATTATTGGCTATGAAATCAGTTTTAAATCTTATTTCCACACAAGTTTTATTTTAAAAAATTTGGAAGAAATACTTAATTATTTTGAATCAACATTCCAGGTACACAAGAGATAACTTCTTTTAAATAGTGAATATTTATTGTAAAGAATATTTCAATTATTAATCTTTTTTATTCATTGGTTAAACTAAAATCTTTAGGATGTTGTATTGAGTCTGAAAGTTGTCTATGGATAAAACTTTAGATGAAAATCTTTTAATTAAGGTTTCTGGAAGCGTCGTTCCTAGAGAAGGAAAATTTTAATATAAGAATGTCTTAGTAACAGAAAAACTGATTTTGCAAGTATCGATGATCTTAACGAGAGTAGTTTATTGTGAAAGTGTCAGATGTTTTCATTTGGTTCTATCTTGAAATCCGAATATTAAACCAGCTGATTGATATGAACGATCTGCAAGACACACTATTACCAAAATTGTATCTTAGGATAGGAATAGCAAACAAGTTTGAAAAGCAATTTTTCTGTTACCATAATATTCATTTAAAAATATTCTTTTAATTTAGTTTTTATTACATCTTCATGAACTAGTCATCGTTTCATCATCGTCTGCTAGAAGAAAATCTTCAAATGTTTCTTCACAATGCTGTAGTTACTCGATTTACTTGTTCAATTACTTTTAATTCGTGTTAATTATAGTTGATTAGATGCTGATGAAGTTCGTTGTATTTCTAATCGTTTCATTTAGTATTATCTTACTTATATGATCTATGAACTTGAAATGATTGAAGAAAGTTACAGCAGATTATGATGTATTATCGCATTTTATTTATTGTACTACTGAATTTCTTACTATGTTATCACATGATACACTACATTAAAAACAAGTTATTAAAACACAAGATTTAATAAAACATTATGATTCATTATTAGCAAGTGGACATGAGTCTGAAACACATGATAGGAAGCAGAAAAAAAAGAACATTTTCGAGAAAAATAAATTATCGTTAAAATTCTTTATTTAGCTTTAGCTACATTAGCACCAGTTGTGTATGATTTTTTTCTTGTTCGAGTTAACACACATAATATAGAATTAGAAGCACAACGAATAGCAATTGTTCACACCTTTCATAAATTTGTTCGTTATAAGAAGTAGTCATTATGCGAATAATTAAAATTCCTAAAGCGTTTTATTAAATGAGAGTGAAGAAAAGGTGTCCCTCTATCAGGTCTCAAATATCATAGAAATTCGAGGAGGATGTGAATGTGGATGTATAGGTATAATTTTTCTCCTCGATTGAACCCACACCCACACCCACACTTCAACGAATCAATGATATGAAAATAACCATATTGTTGATGCTGAGAACTCGACAATATTTGGAGATAGCAATATTTCAGATATGTGTTTGATACAAGATACTTCAAAAAAAAATTTGAAGCAAAACTAGGCGTTTTAATTATTATAGATAAAAGTATCTTTTCATGTCATGTGTATGTATTGAAAAAAACAATAATACAATTTATATTGTTATAGGCTTTACCATTGTTAACAATTATTGTTAATAATGTTCGAATTGAAGATGATAAATGGAAACATCTTTCACGATAAATTGTCGATGTGCTTCTTGTTCATTTACAATCACATCTTACTATTGGTTTATCTAAGGTTATTTTTCTTTTTTAATAATCTTCGATTATATGTTACTTTATCTTGAGGGTGAGGGTGTGGGTGTGGGTGGGTGTGGTGTGGGTGTGGGTGTGAGTGTTGTTTTCACATAACCAGAGCTCCACCAACATCCACACCCACACCCACACACCCATAGCCACACCCACCCACACCCACCCACACCCACACCCACACCCGCACCCACACCCACACCCACACCCCACCCACCCACACCCCACACCCACACCCACCCACACCCCACACCCACACCCACCCACACACCCACACCCACCCACA